CGCCTCGCGACACGACACGTCACGTCTCTCACCGCAACGACACGCTTGCATCCCCTTTATAACTCCCGACAATTATTACAACCTATTAAATTTTTTTTATTCAAAGTAAGAAATTGACAATCGAATCCAGTTTGGTAAAAACCAAATTTAATAGTTAATGACAAATTCGAATTTGTAAATGACCAATTTATAAATAAAAATCTAATTTGATAAGATATTTAACATATTTAAAAATCAAATTGGGATTGTTTTAGTAAAAGTAGTTTTTGTGATGATATAAAAGTTGTTATTAATAAAGATAAACAAACACGGCATGCAAATGTATTTGCATTAGAAGTGCAAATACTAAAGTAAGTATAAATTTAAATTATCATGCAGTTAATTGTTAATTATTAAAGATTTATAAAAAACATGCAATGATTGTTTATGGTTATTTACGGCGAATGTGTTAAATACTATTAAACAGATAGGGTAGGGAAGATAGAAAACCAAGAGATAGGGTAAATAGTAATATAATAAATTAATGTATTCATTATTAATATATGGTATTGTATATTAATATACTATAAATTTATTAAAAATATAATAACTGACCTAGCCCAGATTTGTATAATGTAAAACGTGAACTTAATTCACCATCTCAAACTATTTTCGTCATTCATTCATTCATTCATTAGATCAGGAATAACTCGCATCCATCACATTTCCTCATTCTTTGTCCTAATTTCCTTATTCCATTAATATAATTGGTGGACCTCTAACATGAACCTTAGCATCATTTGTTAGCATGTTTTAATTTAACCCAGACCAAATTTTATGACAATAAACCTTTAACAACCTTCAATTTAGTTAGTAAAAGCATTTGTTATGAGTTTATTAGTAAATCTATTTATAAACATCCTGTATATCTTACCTTGCCCAACTCCAAGTCCGCCGTACACTCCCAGGTATAGATCCCGCTTGCTCTTGTCTAATGTACCATTTTCAGACTGTAATTATTACATAAATTGAAATATGATGAATATTGGCTACAATAAAAAAAGGTTGAAAAGTATCCTTGAAGTAAAGAAAACCAACTTTGTTACACTTATAAAAAAAGCTTTGTACGTAACTTTATTTATTATAAACATTATTTGATGGTCTTTCAAGCCAGGATACAAAGAAGTTTTTGCTTAATATCAACTACTTGTTTTTACTCGAGACTTCGTCTAAGTAAAATTAAAAATAATAAAAATGTTACTCACTGATAACGTAGCTTTTTAATAGTGAAAACATTTTTGAATTCGACCCCATAGTTTTTGACTTATTCCAATACATACAAAAACAAATCTGTCCTCTTTATAATATTAGTACAGATTAATTTAGTGTTTATATTACAAACTAGCATTTGCATGCAACTCTGTCCGCGTAGAATTAACCAAAAACTAAGTAGCCTATGTTCTTCCAGACAATGTTTTACATATATGTCAAATTTTATCCAGATCCATTCATACTATAAACTCTAACAAACATCCATCCATCTAAACTTTCACATTTATAACATTAGTAAAATGTGTACGTACGATAATAGTTTTGTCGTTGGACCACTCGGAGAGCCAGTAGTTGGAGCCGACCTGGAACAGCTGCAGCACCAGGTTCATGAGGATGGTGACGACGGACGCCAGCACGCCCACGCTCGTCAGGTAGTGCTTGTATACCGTCCATTTCACCTGCACACGGTCACATTATCAAACACTATCTGGATTAAATTGCTGCTGGAATTAGTTAACAAAGAAAATTTCAGGAATATAATCTACTACCTTTCGCCCGCGACTCCGCCCGCAAGAAATAACAAAAAAAAAACAAAAGTAAGTAAGTCTATGTGTTCTTCCAGACTATCCTCTACATCGAGATCCGTTCAATAGATTAGGATACAATGTCTAACAAATATATATTCATCAATTAATCATACTTCATATCATACTAATATTATAAATGCGAAAGTTTAGATGGATGGATGGATGGATGTTCGTTGGAGTTTGTAGCCGTTTAGGCTAAAAATTCGACAAAACTTGTAAAAGACGTAAAGGATAGTCTGGAAGAACACAAAGGCTGCTCAGTTTTGAATTTGTAATTCCACGCGGACGAAGTCGCGGGCGAAAGCTAGTATTAAAAAGAGTGAGATAGTAAGACTGCGAACGTACGCTGCCTGTTTCAGTTTTCTCAACTTCGATAAGTTTGTTCTTCTCTTTAAGTTCGTTGGGAGTGCTCTCTTCGGGCGTGCGGCGCTTCACGCTGCCCGTTCTGTCGCCTAGAAAAGAGGTACTTATCTTGTATTCATATAAATAAAACTAAATTCTCTGTTAGATTACAGCTAGCGGGGATTTTATTGGAATTAATCTTTTAATACCTTATAAGTAAAAATACAGAATACTTCTATTTCACACCTATATTCTTTGAAATAAAACATTGGAATAAAATACTAGCTGTTACCGTGCGGCTTTATCCTTAAGAAATTATAAAAACTTTAGTTTATTTTTTACATGCGTGAAATTTTCAATTGCAAATGACAAAATTAAAATGCACAAATGACAACAAAGGCCTTTGACATTGGTTAACAATTACTGTTACCATAGCAACTTTACTTTTTTGATAATATTAGCTTGGATTTTTTGTCCCGCTTGACGGATTTTTCCGAATTATTTCCTCTCTAAGTTTTACGCGAAAATGGCCTTAAGAGTTTCGTAAATGTAGGACCTTTTATTAAAAAGAGAATTATTCGAATATATACTGTGATTGCTGATATCCTATATAACTAAAAAGTGTGTGTTTACGCTTTACTATGTTAGTTTAAATAGATATATATACTATAGGGTTCTCTACCACTATTACATACCGGCGGCAGGCTGGTCCGACTCGGAGGCACTCTCGGACAGCGAACGCGCACGTTGCAGTTTGTTTTGGAACTCTGAACCCAACTTGCTCTCTAACTCTTGCTTGATCTCGTCTAGTTCTGAAATTATCTTTCATTTTAGTCTTTAACATTACTAAATTTTCACTTGACACGTGGGCAACACGATTTCTCTTCTAAGTAGCGTGCCAACTCAAGCGATAACAATATAAAGACACCTTTACCTTCAGGCGAGGTCCTCTCGGCGTCACTGAGGTGATGCAGCAGGAAGTCTGCGAAGGCACCCTTCTTCTCCAGCAGCTGCTGGTAGGTGCCCGCCTCAGAGACCTGTCCGTCTCGCAGCACCAGCACCAGGTCCGTCTGCGCGAGATACGTCACGTTGTGTGTAACCCACACGCGGGTCTTGTCCTTTAGTAGACCACTCGGACCTATCACCTGGCCAACAAATAACAGACAAAGACAAAAACAATTAATATATTATGCATTCTTTTAAAAACCAGATGAAAATTTAAGTCTTTAAAAGTAATAAGTGCACCTTAAGATAGTTTTTTAAAATTTGACATACTCTTGAAGTAAGGATTATCCCATCCAAATCAGTAGTATAACATTATGTCATTTAAACCTCCATAATAATACATGTTTCAAAAGCTGTCCGTTGTTTTAAATATAAATGTCTTGTCTTCATTAATAATTCTCTTACAACACAAGTACATAAATTACAAAGCGTAAAAAAATGTAGCGACCGCAATTTATATTGTTTCGGTCTTTTTTATTAGAGTGGGATTGCGACAATGTATGAATATTAAATTATTTTATGTTTGAAATCGTGCGTTTTGTATGTTGCGTGTTCATACAGATTTTATTTCAACCAGATATTTGCGTTTTATTGGGTTTTAAAAAAGGCTGCAAAACAATTTGAGTTAAATTAGGTCTATTTGCATTTTAGAACATTAGGAGCCAACTAATATAAACCAAATAAAAACTAATATAAATGTATCTTTCGCTTTTATTGCTTAAAAGGTTGCACTATAAAACTGAGTATCTCAACAGAATTTAAAATATGTTAAAAAAAAGTTATAGAGTATATAAAATAAAAGCCAAGAGTGTGGGACCCGTTTGCATACGTACGAGTAACGTTTGGCTGTTTATCAATAAAAACTAGTTTGACTGGGCGGCGGCCGCGGCCGGCGAGTACCCGCTGCCCATACACTGGTACGTATCAATAGATTCGCGTGAGGAATGCATCAACCATCAAGGAATGTATCTTCTAAAAAACATCACGAGTAAACTCCGCCGCTAACTGTTTTTTTGGTTGTTAAACAGCCACTTGTAATAGACTACTTTTAAACTACACAAGATCTTACTTGTTTACGACTGATCTTGCCTTTTGAATTACAAACTTTGGTCTTTGGAAAGTACCATAATCGAAGTAAAGGTCTAGTCTAGTCTTGTCATTATTATCCAATGGACTGTTTTTTATCGTCAGTTCGTTTTTTGATAAAATCTAAACTAGCTCAAACTGTAGCATTATTTACTATTAAGATGTAGCAAAATACCATCAAGTGCGGATTCGATCCCACGAGTTGGATCCAAAGTTCAATGCCCTTAAAGGCCATTTTTAATACGCCTGTCGCAATCGTGTTTATATTAAAAAAAATATTAAAATGGCTCTATTTCAACATTGGTAAATGTTGTGTAATTTCATCGTGTGTCGATTTTATTGTCTAAACCCGCCCTACTCAATCCCGAGATGACAAACCAAGGTTAATTTGACTTGTCATTGCCGTAGCTATAGATTACCCATGTCATTGCATTATCGATCTTGTTACCTTATACTTTAGGTATAATTTGCTAACAGAACATATTTATGTAACCTTAGAGAAAATAAGAAATAAAAACTAAAAGCAGAAAGGTCATCGACATTAATAAAAAACTAGTGGTTCGCAGGCGTTTTATTATGTGAAGGGCTTCTTAAATTAAGATGTTAATTAGTTCCAACATACTAATCTACTGGTCGAAAAAAATCTTTTTTTAAATAACAAAATTTTTTCTATTAAAATTGATAAACCTGTCCCTATTAACTTTGTGTCAATTTTGACGCTATTTGTACAATTAAAAGAGAAACAAAGTTTTCGCTTCAGGTATGAAATATGACTTTACCTTGTCAAAGATGTGTTTGCCGACGTGAGAGTCGACAGCACTGAGGGGGTCGTCGAGGAAATAATTATCAGCGTCGTAGTACACCGCTCGGGCAAGCGATACTCTTTGCTTCTGACCTCCTGATAAGTTGATACCTAGTCACCAGAACAAAATATTTTTTCTTATTCCCATGGCCTAAAGAATACGAGAAAATTCCGCAGAAGTTCAAAAATATCTATATGTGCTCATATTGTTAATAAAACACAATATTGGGTTATATTTTGTAAGATTGTTTTGTTTTAACTGTAACAGATTTATTGTGTTGTAGAAGATTAAATGCCTGTTTAAATCTCTTGGTAACAGTGTACATGACTGTGGTACATCAATAAGATAAGTACTTTGCAGTTCTATAAATAAACAATAACATGTCTGTTTTATTTAATATTGACCTGTATTTATTCTTAAACAAGTAGATTATTTGTAAAAATCACATACCTTTCTCTCCAATCTCAGTCTGGTCCCCGCCGGGCAAAACGTCGAAGTCTGGCTTGAGGGCGCATACGCCGATCACATTGCTGTATTTGGCCTTTTCTAATGGCTTGCCGAAGAGAATATTGTCTTGTAGAGTAGCGTTTTGAATCCAAGCTTGTTGCGGGACATATGCTATACTGCCTGTGGAAACGCATGTAGTGTTACTCGAAAATACTCTTTGAGATTTATTTGATATACATAATATACAAAAAAAGTATACCGGTAGGCGCATATGTACATATATAGCCGAAATGAATATCAGAATCTTTTCGATCGATATTAGATTATTTAGATACTTAGTTTGAAACATAGTACAAAAATATTCGAGAGCCCTCTAAAGTTAAGATAGGTTTCTCGATTATTATTGTGATCGGTTTAATTGAAAAAAACGGAGATCAAATTGAATTCGGTCCATACTCAATATTTAAATGGAGTTACCGAGCGTGTTGACTCGTCCTGAGATCTTGTCCATCTCTCCGAGCAGCGCGGCGAGCAGAGAGCTCTTGCCGGAGCCCACGGCGCCCACTACGGCCACCAGCGAGCCGCGCGGGATGCGAACACTGATGTTACGAAGCACCGGCTGCTCCTCGCCCCAAGAGAACTGACCATTCTCGATCACCAGCGGGTCCGCTAATAACAACAACAACAATAAAGAACATTTAAATCCCGTTATACGTTTTTTATGTTTAATAAAGGAACAAACGGTCAACCGGAAAAGTTAAATGATCTTCAACGCTCGTACAAATATCAAACACTAAAAGTACGGCAAATGCGTTGCCACTTTCAATGTCATTACTATTTTGTCGTATCAAACTCAACGACTGACGAATCGGTAGCACTAATTAGTTTTTTTCAACCTAAATAAGCAAAATGCAGATAAGCCTAATTTGTTTTAAGAAAGTCCAAAACAACATGTCGAGACAAGTGTTTACATTTCTGCACAAACATATTAATAACGTTCTTTGTGTTTGTCAGACGAGGATATTTATGCCAGACAATATTTTCAATAAAAAAACGAGATAAAGGTTTATCAGGTTGCTTTGTTAAACAATGCCAACGACCCAGTAAGAGGCGTCAGAAAATCAACAAGCTAAAAGGTAAAATCGATCGAACAATTTTGTTGTCAGGGTTTAGACAACTAATTCTATTTATACGTTAAGATTCAGGTGAATCCGACGCAAGTGATTGTTAAAATTCTTTTGTTTCTAGACAAATAAGTACTGCATACTTTATAATATAGGTACGAGGTAGTCGGGGACTATACCCACTGTTGAATCAGACGAATCATTTCCGGATCAGATAACGGTAACCTCGGTACAACAAACCTCATGCACGCAACACAATACCTATTTATTTGATAGAATCAAAATAAATAGCTGAGGTTGTGGGGACTTAACCTAAACAAAACATACCAGTCTGTGTTCGAACACTTTATATTATACATTCCATTATAGGTAGAGATTACAATTCATATCTTATTTTATAATAATACTTTATTACCCAAAATTTTCAAAACTAAAAAATTATCTTGTCTATAAAAATTTAAACAGATATGCGACCAATCCGTTTCAAAATCTATATAAATTGACTTATCTCAAGTTAATAATAATTAAATGCTATTTTTATAACTACAATTATTACAACATATTATGCAATTTATTATATTAAAGGAATAATCAATAAAAATGCTAAGTCATGCCAATGTTCAAGGTCAACAAGATGTAATTGACTATTTTATTGTAACCTTAGGTTACAGAGACGATTGTTACACTAACAAATAACAACTAAGTAAAGCTATAAATATCAACTGAGCAATGCACATTAGGTCATTAGAAGAATCTGTTGTCCTTATTGTAATTAATAAATATGTTTTTATTTCAACAATTTTAGAAGTTAAGAACGAAATTAAAATTTGGCACCTTTTGTGCTGCCTACGTTCAATTTATTTGTTTTTCGTGTGACATTATCGCGTACGTTAAAAGAAGACTAAGGGCCTGTCCCACCACTTGCTGATAAGAGGCTCTGATAGCTTAAAATGACGTCACTGTTAGATAAGGTAACAAAATTCTATATTTCCATCACATATTTTACACGTTTGATTGTTATCAGAAATTTTTACAATTTGGTGGGACAGGCCTTTAATGAACCTAATCATTATGATAGCCAGAAGGACGTTTCGTTTTTAATTCTGTGTTCATAAGGGATATATGAACAAACACGTGCACTCTAAATTGACGAGAGTCTATTGCCTTGTGGCACAATGACTCCTGGCCATGCCTTGTTAATGAATGAAACAAGTGGAGGTCACCCATACCCGTACAATTATGAATTAGTTAATATTTGATAGTTTTGTAACATAGATCGTTGTAATAAATTCCGCATAAAATCTCTACGAAAACATATCTTTGTTTTTCTAATGAATGAAAGAGACGACAACGTATTCTTATACAAGGGTTACAACAATGGAAACCCACAGTCGATACAAACATAATTTAAAATGTACTTACGTTCACTCTTGTCGTGTTCCACTGAATTAACGTCGAGTTCGTCGCAGTTCATGAACTTGTTCAATCTTTTAATACCGACGGAGGTCTAAAATAAATAAAAGTTACATAGAAAAATAGATAATTTTTTTTACATTCATGTACAGAACAAGATATCTGACTAGTACTAAATATTTTTTAAACAATTCGTAACTCAAATCTAAAATCATTCTTAAACTGTACATAAAAAAAAATTATTGTATCATGCTCTAAACTATATTAAAAACCTCCACCAGTTTTACTCAATTTTAATCAACTAAATACTGAAATGAAAGTGAATCGTATATCGAAAATGTTAAAACCAGAGCTAGAATTCTATTTTTAGTTTTATACTTCTAAATGTAATAGGTAAAGTTTGATAGAATAGTTATTCTAAACAATATATCAGACTCATTTTAACTTCAAACACTCATTTTTTATCCGATTTTTGATAAATCCAGTTTCCAATTTATTGGGTCACTTCCTTAGTTACGTCAAATTGATAGCTGTCAAAAAGAGTCTCATACACTGTAGCGACATTACTGTCTATGGTAAACTTACTTGTACAACATTCGAGATAACGTTAGGCAGCATGGATAGCGGAAAACGCAGGATGTTGAAAAGAGACAACGCTACGAAAGCCCTCTCAGAATCCAGTACTTCAGTTTCGTTTACCAGTACAAAGCACCCGAATGACATCAGCGAGACCTAGGAGACCATTCCAGAAAACATGACATGTTTAGAGTATTGTTAGTAAATTATGTTTTCGCTACTCGGAACTGCAACTGAACAAATATATTTTTTTTAAATAGATGACATATTTGTACTTTCACATTTATTAAACTATTAAACAATATTTCACAATATGATATTCTTTTAGGCAATAACACCCGATTATGAAATCTTTTCACAAGATTTAGATTACAATGCTTTATCAATAAACTTCAGATTTGAGTGTAGTATAAATATTCGTTTATCGGAGCTAAGCTGGTCTTGCATGACACAGCTAAAATAAACTAACGCCTACGTAACTAAATGTTGGTTAACTGTTTTGAACGAATTGTGCATTTTTGTGTGGAGATTTTTATCTGTTTGCAGAGAAAATAGTCTATTTTTATTGAACATTTAGCACACTTACACCTTTTTACGTATATCCTTGATTAAAGATAATTAAAAAAATATTTAGGATTTAAAAAAAGGTTCATAGAAAGTGAGGAATCATTATGCAAAATTACGATAAAAAAAAATAGAGTTGCAGTTTCAAATCAACGAAAACCAAACTAATCGATAAACCGGTAAATATTGCGCGATCGTCCAACCGTACACCTCGGTACAATGAATATAATTTTAAATTATGATGCAGATTAAATATAAAACCACCAATGAAGGTTCGGGCATGTTAGTTATGCGAGTACCATAGACTAGGAGCATAGCTACGTGCTAACAGCCGAGGGCACTACCTCGATCACTGACACCACGATGAGCGGCAGCAGACCTAACGGCAAGTGCATTACAAAAAACAGAGACATCGACACGAATATTTTGTCAGGAGCCAGGATATTGTTCTCAGGGTCTGATATCACATACGTGAAGAAAGTAAGGAAGGTCACCTTGAACAGAAAAACAAATTGCACTTCGATCCGCAAATATGCAAAGTCCACTTGTGATATCACATTAATTGCATAATAATTATAACCCATGATGTAATTAATAATCGCTGAAAAAGTAACATAGCACCATATATAATTATTCTTATCTATTCATATCTATATTTAAGCATAAAGTAGCTGTTTCCTAGTTTAAATAAACAAATTTGGATGTTGATTCTATTTAACCTGTTTATACTTAAATAAATAGTAAAAAAATTAAACATTACGAATATTGCTACATAAACATTGTATGCAATAGTAAATGTAGAGATCGGCAAAGTTAAAAAAACATATTTTGTAAAGCAATATTTTTAAATTTCTAACATCACTTTGTGTTATTACGCTTCGAAAGCCTAATAAGGTAGTAAACTAAAAAAAATCTGATTTTCTACGACCTTGGTAATAGACATACTGCATATCTTTTCATATTGATTTGTCATACATATTAATAGTTATGTTACAAGGAAAATATGTAGCTTGATTACAGTATTTAGGGTTTGACGTCATCCGCAACGCTATGTCAATAGACTCACATTTTCCAAATATATTACTAACAAAGAACATTTTATTTATGATGTTGATATCATTGTTTATTTAATTTATAATTGGCATTGAAAATAATTTTTCGTACTTTACACTTTATTACTTTTTAGATAGTAATCTGTATTTTTTTAAATCAAATAATATAGGTATAAAATTAATTACTAGTATTTGTGAATTGTGAAATTATACTAAAAATACGTAAAGTGCAGAGCACTTGAAACCGATAAGGCTAGCAATATTCGATTGCTTTAATCTGTCAAATGCGACCGCCGACCTTGGTCCACATTAACTCTCCCCACAAAAGGTAATTACAGATTGCTGAAAAAATTTAGTACGATATCTCATATCGTTGCGCCAGTAACAAGTATTGTAGAATTGTTCAATAACTAGTGCTAATATTTCTGCAAAAAACGTAAACCTTACATTTGTTAAGTTGATATTCACATTGATTTTCTTTTCATGTTTATTGAACATGAACACACAAAAAATGAAAATAGATATATTGTCTATTAAAATTGTAGAAATGCCATAAAGTTTAAATACGTCTATAAGGTCTGAGAGCCCTTTTGAATACTCAACTATTTTTATCTTTTTAGTCAATCAATTAAGCTCATGGGCGTCATTAATTTGTCTTACAGCTGATTCTACAGGCAGTCAGTAGAGAACATAACGAATAAAGACAAAAGTTTGATAACAATTGTCAATTATCATTATAACAGTTTACTGATTTCGCGACGAAAAACTGCTTTTTACTACACAAAACCGGTTATATTTACGTCCAAAATACCGATATCAGTCATATTACCTGATTACTTGACTTTTATAACACACGCAATCAATCATTTAATGTCAAAATAACGTCCATAATAAATCAAACTTATCAAATCATCAATATAGATTACACCATTTAATACTAATAAATACACAGATAATTTATTATCGTAGTAAATACTCTAAAATCGCATGCAGTACAATAATTTGGACTTACCAAAAACGGCGCACACGACCATATGAACGATGTTGCAGAATTTAGATATGCAGTTTGTTTCAAAACAATCATTTCTTTGTTTCTTATTTTAAGTACTTGGTCCTCGAAACTCGGTTCCCATGCGTACATTTTGAGAACCTTAACACAATGACATAATTATATGATTAAGTAATGCAATTCGGTAGCTAAATAATGACAATTGTTACGATGAATAATGATTTGTATGCAAGTAACGATTTAAAAAATTGTCGACATTTAATTTATGTTTTCAATTCTATATGTAAGAAGAGTAAATAGCTAATTATTAAATTAGCGTGTACCATCTTTCGACTGCATTGTCACTTCTATCAGGTGGGATTGTCAAGCGCCAGCTTACTATAATAAATAAAATAAGCAATGGTCGAAATGTTTTAGGTTTAAGGGAGATGCCACACCGACACATATATACTAAAAACACCTAAGAAATATATTTTTTTACGAAACCATACAATGACTTTCAAGTTGTATTTTAGTAACTAGTAACAATGGATTTTCCCATTCTACGTCTCCGTATCTTATCACAAAATTTTACGGAAAATACTCGAAAAAAGATAACGAGAAAAAATATCGAAAAAGATAGCAAAAGACCTCCGAAGATAATAAAGCACACGCTGTTATCTAACATCATTAAATCATATTTCATATACAAATATTATTTCGATGGAAGCCCACCTTAATTCCGTTAAGTACTTCGTTCATCAGCTTGACTCTTTCGTCTTTGTATTTCATTTGTTTAATTTGTAATGTCTTAACTCTGTTCGCAATAAGACCGTTGACAGGAATAAGTACAATCATGACAGCCAGACCCGCTAGTACTGAGGGACCTAAAATACCCCACAGGAAGTACAGAGCTAAGGCTATCTGTAGAGGTGCAGACCATATCATATTTAAGTACGCTGTTAGCTCTAAAAACCTGCAAATTAATAATAATAATAATAATAATAAAGCGAAGAGCTTCGACCAAC